GTTCAATAATCTTCACATACTGACAAGATGTGAGTGAAGTAAAAAACACCAAACTCTGCGTTGGTTGTACAGGTGTCTTCAGCACGTATAGTCGTGTTGAATACTCTTCAACAAGTTGACACTAGTTTTATAAGATGAGAATGAAGTAAATAAATCCTGTTTAGTTTCACAAAAATACCACCAAAAACAATATTCCACCAACCAATCACAGACTATTATGGAATTTTCGACACTCAAACCTACAAAACAAAATGTTTATACATCAGATTGTTTGTCCAGAGTGTCGATATGTGAAGTTTGTTGCTGTCTTTTTTCAGGCTTACATTCAAACGTCAGGTTTACATGTCATGGAAATGAGGCAGCATATTTTTAGGTGTTTGTACTATTCTTGTTTCATGATTTAAACATATAATCAGTAAATACCTGTCTTTACTAACGATAAGGGTAAACACACATATAAGAAGTTTTGACATTTCGGCATTATTTTTAGGATGTGAGACCACAAAAAATGCATTGTTAATCAAATTAGGAACATAATTATTAAATATGCAGAAACGTGTTTAATGATTCGTCGCTGCTAGATAAATCATTAGCGGTATGAAATACAAGACTACATTAGTGGTTGTGATATACATATGAATTTTTTTTTTCAATTTATGATTATAGTATTTCTCTAATGGTTCTACTGCTTGCCATGAACTATTTACCGGTAAAACTTCTAGTGTAATGTTCCTGTTTTTGCCTCTCTCGCGAGTAGGTTTGAATGCTGGACTTCTCGAATGCCAATCGACTTCCCTATCAACTGAACTGCGTGATAGTAATTGTGATAGTAAGACACTTTTCAATAACTTAAAATGCCACACTGTTGCACACTAGGCGTAATGGTCTTACTTTAAACTAACCCTTATATGTATAGCATTTTAGTTGTTTTTTGACTTCACACTGAACCTATGTTTATATAGGATTTGAAGATTATGTAGTATTAGCGCTTCTAATCTATTCTTCTGAATTATTCACCAAGCAAGCTGTTTAAGATACTGAATAGTATTAATAAATGTAAAGCCTAAACTGTTATTCGATTCACCACTTGTCAATAAGTTATACCGGTTTCGGGGAATTCCACCCCTCATCATTAACTCTGGACAAGAACAAACTGAGGAAAACAAGAGCAGTAGGTGTCTCAAGGTAGATACTCGTCTACTGCAGTAACGTTAGTCTTTTTATTGATACATTCCTATGGGTTTGTGTCAGGCATAGTAGTTCTCATGAAATTGACCTCGCACTGTATAATATGGAGCCTTAACTTTTTTTTTTTTATCAATGAACTACTGTCCCAGAAACCAAAATGTATTAACTGGGTTGTGTTAGGCCTAGCAGTTTTCATGAGTTATATGGCGTAACTTTGTACGATGGGTTTGTTTGTCTTTTAATTACGCCCAAAACCGTTCCTAATGTAGCAGCGATAGGCTAGAGGGAAAGCAACTATTCAACACCACCCAACGCCAACTGTTGAGCAACTTTTTACCAACGAACAGTGGGATAAACCGTCACATTATAACGCCCCCACAGTTAAATGGACGAGCATGTTCGATGACGGGGATTCGAACCCACAACTTGAGTACTCTAACCACCAGGCCATGCCAGGCTTTACTTGGTTGTGTTAAGCCTTGCAGTTTAAATGAGTTATATGACGTATCTTTACGTGATGGGATTTTGGTTTTCTTTATCAATGAACCAATGTTCTAGAAACCCAACAGTATTTATTGGGTTATACATTTTTATTAGTATATCTGTGTTAGTGTGTGTGTGGATATAAATTACGTGTGTATTAGTGACATGATCTGTATAAACCATAAAAAAATCCGTGTCTGTCTGTCCGTTATCTAACTACTCCTAGGTCGTTGGACCAGTCTGAACTAAACTTTGTAGGAGGATAGTTTAGAACAAGGAGCATGTTAATGGTGGGTTTACAACCAATCCACCGATATTATTGCTGGTATTGAGCATTTATTATCTTTGACGCAAGTTAACGTAAACTACATAGATGGCGCCACGTCCTTACACCGAAACCAAAAAACTTTATTAAATTCTTTATAACACAACATACACACAGTGGGGGAAGCATACAAAAGTCTTATATATCTCGGAGAGTACGATGAAAAAAATATGGCCGTCACTATTGCAATACAACATAAGCTCAATTGAAGTTTTTTACTCCAACAGCCACCATGATGCTGATATGAAGAGCCGTTTCTTGAGTTATACCCAATTCCTACTTTGACCCGTGACCTTTCAACTTCGGCCTGTAAGGCACTTCTGATTGATCGCCAATCAATTAATCACGTAAAACACTGTGGAAGGACATTAAGAGCTGGGTGTTAAAAGCAGGCAACAGAAAGTACCCCCTACCGCCACTATTTCTCAACTACCTTTTCTAACAGAATCACCCTCACCATTTCACAGTGTATACCATGTTTTAAGTATATATACACATTGAGCTTATACAAAACTTTTGGTGAGGTAATAATGAATACTGTAGAAATATATTACGTTATAAATAAATGATGTGAAAGTTAGGATTTTTGTGTTATTTAGCATTCTCCCCTCACACACACTCACACTTTTTTTTTAAGTTCCTAACCGAGACGAAGGACAAGTACCTCAGCTTGTATGTTATAATCAGTGAATTATCTGCTCATTCATTGCCAAGTTAGATTATCCTATGGGCGGCAATGTGGCTACTTAAATGTTTTGTAACAAAGAGATTTTCTTTGGTCAGATCAAACATTAAAAATAAGTATTTTGTTTAACTTATTTTTACGTTTTCTGTTCTTCATGTTACGTACTAGCATGTTCAGTTTTGTTAGGCGGTAGGTATTCAATCTACTGAATTTTTTTATAAAATTTTGACTTTAAAACGGGCCGTGTATAGAATGTAGTATAAAAATAGCTGTAAACCTGAACAGTCATATTTAGTTGAACCCATTGACTTCACTAATATAAGAATAATACTATTTGTGTACTTGTTAATGAACAGTTTATTTAACATGTTGAAAACCAAAAATTTAAATAAAAACGGAAAGTAATGAGCTGAACGTTTTTCATCTTCATCGAATTGTTACAGAAAGAATCTGTTTACTAAGAGAGAAGAAACTTTATATATTCTAACAAGCATGTGTATTAATATATAAATAGAAGTCCAAGTACCCAGGCTTTTAACAAGTATATGTGTTATTATATAAATAAAACAGATAAATTACACCTTCAAATGTGATAAGTAAACTAATTACTCGGTCTTTGATTTTAAAAAAACTCAAGATTAGTTTTGATGTATATATTATCATACACAAATATTTGATATAAATTTGTTTAAGTGGTTTTGTAGCAAAACAACCATTCTTCAGTCTGAAACTGACTTTTTACATCAAAAATGTTTTCTATACTGTTGCATTCATGCATTCTACTCTCACAGGGATTTATCTAGCAGTGATCAGTACTTGAATGAAGTTTCTGCATAGCATATTACACAATTTTGTATTACACTTTCCGTTATATATGCAGATATATTTACTAATTTGAATTTTTTCCCAATCGTAGAATGGTAATTTTGTTTACTAATAATACATACATATTCAGTTTCTTGTAGAAAGCTTCAGTTTTTACTTCTTTATTGTTTCTAAAAGCAACCATTAGTTCTGAATCTTGTACAACTTCTAAAAGAAAACGCTAGTCCTTAATCTAGAATGGGATCTACAAGTAAACATCCTTCGGTTACTCTGTAGTTATAGAATTAAACACACACCCTTACTTATTTGTAGGCGAAATAAATTGGAACATCTGTCTTATTTTTTCCGATATTCTAGCATCAGTTATCATGCAGATGTCATCTGTATCATTCAGTTTATTTAAAATTGAACAGATAATTCGGGTACATTTCAATTAACATTATTCCAGCATAGTTGTATACTAAAACAATGTTAATTGAAATATACATGGATGACTTGCTCAATTTTCAATGAATATTACAAACATTTTGGTGAACAATGTACAGTCTGATACAGTTTTGCTCTTACTGTTTTTATTGATACTGCCTTAGGCTTTTTATCTTCTTCAGATCTGTGCATGTTTTTCAAATTGTAACGGTCTAAAGTAACTCGCCGTAATAACCAGGGTTGAACTAAAAAATACAAATTTATTATACTTTGACAACCACAGAAATCCAAAGTGTACTTTTAAACTATTGAAATACAAAATACCAAAATACAATAAAGAAATATGTACCTGGTCAGGAATTGAAACTAACGTTAATGAACAATACAATATGTAAATATAGGTTAATAAGTATTTCAATAAATAACGAAATCAGGAGAAAAAAGAGAACCAGATAAAAAAAAACAACTAATTCAACAATAACAATACCCCGTATTTAAACTACACAATCACTAACAACATTTAGTAATAATCAACAATAATACTGTTCAGCTATATTTGGTGAACTAACTTGTTACATCACAATGTAGGGTTTTGATTCACTTGTTAGGTCACGAGATTACGAATCATGTGCTCGTTATTTACATATTTTTGTGCTTAATATCTGTATGTAATTTACATACTATTGTGCATAAGTTGTAAGTAATTAATAATATCTGTATGTTACCGCTAGGGGAAACTGATGTCAGTTTCATAATATATACATATTTACTCAAAATAACCGTGATCATCAGAAGGTGAGTTAGCGTTTTAAATGTATCTGAAATTCATAGATAAACTAAACGATAGAAGAAATAGTAAATGAACGATAAACACAACCAAATAAAAACAGATTTCGCTATCTCACAGAATGAGAAAATACTTAAGTATCAATGTTTTCATATAGCACAATCAGTTACTGAAGTTATTTAGCTTTAAAATACGAGAAACTTCTCAAGAGGAAGCTTTCGTTATTTTCGCTTGAAATCTTCGTGTCCTTCGTTAATCCAACGTTTTCTTTTGTTACGCAGGTACTGGGATGGCTGTGTTGGAAAGGCGAAGAAACGCTATCCAAACATCAAGCTATGGCTGACTCTTTTGACGCCGTCAAAGAGCAGGAAGGGGAATTTGAGAAATTCTACTTTTTGGCCATGGTAAGGTTAATTAACGTAATAATTCAGAAGTCTTGACAGGCAAATAATTCAGAAATGTAGAGGTATGGGATTGTTGTTGTTATTTGTTATTAAGCATAAAGCTACACAAAGGGCCATCTGTGCTCTGCCCACCACGGGTATCGAAACCCAGTTTCTAAGTATAAGTCCACAGACATACCAGTATGCCACTGAAGGGGCAGAGGTTTATGAAAATCATAGTTTTAGGGGATAAGGTGTTGTGGTGTTGTAACCTGTAATAATATCATTGTCATTAAGCTCATTGAAGGTCATGCCTTTCGGAAGTTTTATTAACATGTATCATATACCCAAAACGTCAATGTGCAAAGTAATTAATAGAATATTTGAAACCAGTAATTACCAAAATCGAAAGAAAAACACTTACAGGTACAGCTGCACCTCTTCCACACATATGGAGTTGTGCAACAGAAGATCGAAATCCGACCATAGCAAAGGTTGGTGTACAAACCTAGATTTGAGGTGCAAAGTTGGAATCTTCCATAAGCAAGGCATTGCATCTTTTTACATAAGGTAGCACACAGGCATTGTATTCCTGTTGTTGACAAGTGATCTTAATAATAATGGTACAGCATTCAGTTGAAGAGGGTGTCATTAGTTGTATACTGAACGGTTTCCAGAATAATCGTAATGTTTCATATGAGGTGATAGGAAACTTGTGTCAGCGGCTGCGTGCTACAGGCTTATATATGTATAAACGCCATACCAGCCCACCATAAACAGCAACCAATATTGATAATGAAACCGCTATATTGGCATTTTTCACATGTGGGGAGCACTTTGAACACAGCTATTGATTGTTTGCCACCATTATTATATTTTCCTCATTTTGTTTTTATGCCTACAACTGTTGGTTTGTTGTGAAGCGATATATATAAGTAAATAAATCGAATACTATCAGTTACACTAATTATCAATGACGATTAAATCAGCACTATAAAACATTATTTTCCATTATCAGTCCTAGTTGTCAACATTAAGTCATTTAACGGAAAATGTCTATGGTCAAAAGCACCCAAACGCGTTGGGGATATTCAATCCAGCAGCTATGGGCAATCGCGGCTGAAAGGGCAAATATGTTCAGCGACTGGATACGAACCTGCGACCCTCAGATTGCAAGTCAAGTGCTCTATCCACCAGGCTAAGCCAAGCCTTTTTATCCTCCTGTGAGTCAGCGTTAAATTTTACGGGCTTATAACGATAAAATCCGGGGCTGGATTCCACGCGATGGATACATTGCAAATAGCCTATTGTGTAGCTTTACACCAAGAAGCCAACAACAATTTCCTCTCTCTCTGCATGTTAAAAAAGTAAAATAGTAAAAATATATTTGTAACAAGTAAAAAACGAACGTACAGGCCCGATTTACAGCTTAGCGCAGAAATCAAGCTAACAAGCAGGTTGCTGTTATATAATTATATTGCAGGGATTTTTGAAAAAATGTCGAGCTCATTTTTAATCGATACTCCCAAATAGATGATATGATACAATTATAAGGTCTAATTTAAAACTTGATTTGGAGTAATAAGTAGTTCCCGGACAGATGATATGGTGCAATTATAATGTGTAATCTTAAACTTGATATGAAGTAAGTAATAGTTCCCAGACATGTGGTACAATTATATAGTGTAATTTTGAACTTGACGTGGAGTAATAAGTAGTTCCCGGACAGATGATATGGTACAATTATAATGTGTAATCTTAAACTTGATATGAAGTAAGTAATAGTTCCCAGACATATGATATGATACAGTTATATGGTGTAATTTTTAACTTGCTTTGGAGTAATAAGTAGTTCCCAAACAGATGATATGGTGCAATTATAATGTGTAATCTTAAAACTTGATATGAAGTAAGTAATAGTTCCCAGACATGTGGTACAATTATATAGTGTAATTTTGAACTTGACATGGAGTAATAAGTAGTTACCAAAACAGATGATATGGTGCAGTTATAATGTGTAATCTTAAAACTTGATATGAAGTAAGTAATAGTTCCCAGACATATGATATGGTACAATTATATAGTGTAATTTTGAACTTGATATGGAGTAATAACTAGTTCCCAGACAGATTGGTGTAGTTTTAACTCGAGATGGAGTAATCAGTAGTTCCCAGAGAGATACCTTGTAGTAATAAGATGTAGTTTTAACTTGATATTGAGTAATCAGTAGTAGATATGGTGTAGTTATAAGGTGTTCCCAGTAGTCCCCAGACATATGGTAAGGTGTAGTTATGAGGTGCAGTTTAACTCGATATTCGTCGAGTCTGAAACTACCGTGAACTGATTTACAGTGTGATAAGTATTGTCCAAATGTATTCTGTTATAAAATGTATTTTGTATCATTTATTGTTGAGCTTTTTGAAAATCCTAGTCTTTAATAACTCTTACCGATCACTGTAGAGGCAATAATATTTGTGTGATTCATCATAGCTAATGTGTTTTTTAACTGTAATTCAAATCAGAAAGTGTCGAATTTATATCTTAGACGTAATATGTTTGCTTACACGTTATGATTCTGGAATGCAAGGTAACAACTTGTACTATATTGCCGTCTCATAACGTTCTCCTTCGTACGTGTTTGTTTTTTAATTGTTTGTTTGTTTTTGAATTTCGCGCAAAGCTACACGAGGGCTATCTGCGCTAGCCATCCATAATTTTGCAGTGTAAGACTAGAGGGAAGGCAGCTAGTCATCACCACCCACCGCCAACTCTTGGGCTACTCTTTTACCAACGAATAGTGGGATTGACCGTCACGTTATAACGCCCCCACGGTTGAGAGAGCGAGCATGTTTGGTGTGACGGGGATTCGAACCCGCGTCCCGCAGATTGCGGGCCGAGCGCCCTAACCATCTGGCCATGTCGGGCCCTTGTTTTTTAAATACTGGTTTTAAGCATTTAGAATTGTACATTTAAAATGTTTGTAGTGTCCTCTAGTGTTTTAACAACCACGTATTTTTCAAAAGCATAGTTCTAGAAACATTTTTTATGATTAAAACATTCTTATGAATCTTTTATGGGTAAAATAACTAGTCTTATGGTAGGATGACACCAGCGAAAGGCGCGAGATACTTTCATATGTACATTCTGGCGTCGTCTACTATACACATTATTAGAAGTTTATGAAATTAATAACGAGTTATTAATTTTTAATTATTTTTTTGCCCATGAAATCAAATCATCTAATCTAACATATTAATGCTATAGATGTTTGAATTCACGTTTCACAGTGAAAAGTGACCCTAAGAAAACTAAATGTTCTGTAAATCGCCCATTTTTAGTTACCCTGTCTGTTATTATCGTCCTGCATATATAACGCAAGCATGTTTCGTTGTTGATAATGGTATATTTTAAACCAGCAACCAGTAGTACTATATTTATTGATTTTAACGTAGGATCAATAAGATTTGTTTGTTTTGAATTTCGCGCAAAGCTACACGAGGGCTATCTGCGCTAGCCGTCCCTAATTTAGCAGGTGTGTGACGTAATATGTTTGCTTACACGTTATGATTCTGGAATGCAAGGTAACATCTTGTACTATATTGCCGTCTCATAACGTAAGACTAGAGGGAAGGCAGCTAGTCATCACCACCCACCGCCAACTCTTGGGCTACTCTTTTACCAACGAATAGTGGGATTGACCGTCACATTATAACGCCCCCACAGCTAAAAGGGCGAACATGTTTGGTGTGACGGGGATTCGAACCCGCGACCCGCAGCATGCGAGTCGAGCGCCCTAACCACCTGGTCATTCCGGGCCGATCAATAAGAATTCGGGGAATTATACCTGGAGGCTCTAAAAAGTTTTTTAATTGATTTCGAATCACAACAGAGAAGTTGAACTTTAAATATTGTGAAAATATTGTGACTAGTCTGTCTTTTTGTTTTACAAACTACTTCCTAGGTTGTAAATGCAATGTAGAAATATATATAAAAATGCAAAAACAATTGCAAACAATTCGGAACATTTTCAGAAAAAAGCTGTTATTTTTTAGTGTCATTATTACATAAAAAAATAAGAATTTTATGCTGTGAACAACATTGTGGGAGGACACTGTGGTTGTGCGTGTTTCACAGAATCAGCTTACGATTTTCAGTATCTCTAACCGCCTAGGTTTTATGAATTTGCTAATAAGTACAAGATAATGTGTCTACAGCCAAAGAGTATAATTTTGATTCTCAGAAGTTTGTTTTCGTTGAATTTCGAGCAAAGCTGTTCGAAGGCGATCTGCGGAAGCCGTCCCTAGTTTTGAAGTGATCGACTATAGAGGGAAGGCGGCTAGTCAACACCACCCGTCATCAACTCTTTTGATACCCTTTATCAACGAATAGTTGGATTGACCGTCACATTATAACACCCCAACAGCAAAAATGGTGAGCATGTTCGATTACGGGTTCCGATCACGCGACCTGCAGATTGCGTGTCAAGCACCTTAATCTCCAGGCCATGCCAGGCCTAATTGATAAATAAGATTGTCAATGTAACGTATCACTAGGGCCGCCCATCCTTTACTGTTTTGGGTACATTTAAACGTAACAAATGTTTTATTACGTTTCACATTGAAAATCAGTAAAGGTACTTTATTTTGATTATATCAATACAGACGACGTTTTATTTACCAGTTATAAGTTATATCGAACTCCGAGGTATTTTAGAAGACAATGTGATACTGAAGATGAACAAAAAAAAATAATTTTTCAAACGTGTTTTGTAAAGTAGCGAAAAGGTACAAAGCCTGACATGAGGTTGATGCATTACGCACTCGTGAAAACACGTGCTGCGTTTTTCCGGATGAGAATCACGTGAGCTTTAGCTACAATATTAGCAAGTAGAAGATGTATGGGTACAACTTCTCTCTAACTCTCGAAAAACAAAAAAGCCTACAGAATGGCTATGGCTACAGAATACAGCGAGTTTCCAAAACTCAGCACTGGAGGGGGGGGGGTGTTTATAATTGTACATT